TACTGCTCGAGTTCATTTCCCACCCTCCCTTTCCCTACCCTTACGGAGTTTCAAAGGCACACAATTCTCCGACTTTTGCTTGCACGATCTCCTGCCTCTCTGATACGATACAAACACACGTAACTGTTTTTTCAGGAAATAACTAAGAATGCGTTTAATAGGGTGGTTAGGAAGGAACGGGGTGGGAAATTGTAGATTAGGAGATAAGGAAATCCAGCACGAAACAATTGGAAATTGATAGAAATGACTGGAAACTCGCAGATGAGGGGAATAAGAGACGCACAGTGATCGGCTTCACTACCGACCCTTCCCGCAGGGTCAAGCGTGCGTTGAGGAATCCTCGACATGTCACAGAGGGGGGGTCGTATTGGCCCGCTGGGGAGAGATCGGGCCCGATTGATACAGTAGGATCATCGTCGGAGGACAAACATTAAGGATCGAATCGATACCAGGCCAGAGTATTTCCAATAACAATTGATTCCGTCCACACAAAATCTTCGTGATTTAGAGGTGTCCGCTTAGCAATTCTTAGTGACTTTAGTGTTTCATCACCACACAAGTCAAAGGATCCGAAATTCGCACGTTTTCTAGGGATATTTTATCTTTCAAGTAGGTCCTCAAATCCAACGAGATGTGAAGCACACGGCGCATCCCAGAGTGGGCCCAGTTGGTTGCGCGCGCTTCAGCTACGGCTATCTTGATAACGAATCTTAATTCAGGAAGAATCAAGAGGGTTCTGAAAGAGTTCATGTTAAATTACAGAGAGGAGTACACTATTCAACAAGAAACGCAGCCTTCAGCGTCAAATTCACAAGCAATGTAACCTTTATCTACGTTGAGACATTAACACGTTGACGACATCGCATGTTTTTGGCATTTTGCACCTCGTGGGACAGGAGCGATTTTGCGACCGCCGCCGTCCTCACCTTACTTACGCTTATTTTTTGTTAAAAATGCACAATAACTTGAATTTCATAGGACTATTTCGGCAAGGACGATCGCACAAAGGTTAAGTATATAAGTAGCAAAAGGTTTTCGTTTAGAAGAGCGCATAATAACCACGAAGAAGTAAAAAAACATCACTTTCGCTGCGAATGAAATTAAAAGCATTTATATCTAAGTACTCCCATCAAATCAAATATATTGAAACTCACAGAGTTTTGTTTCAACTAACTCTAAAATCTTTCATAAGAATATTGACGGCAGTGAAAGTATTATTAAGAAAGAATCGGAACGAAAGTTTTGTGCGTTCGGAAAATCTTTGCTTAATCAAAAGATACTTGACCACTCTAGCTGCCAAGCGGTTTATAGTCATGCTAATGTATTATCTATAGAATGAATACAAGAAACCCGAGAGGAAGGAGCGCAAGCACGATAAAAGTGAGTAGCATAGACTTGACGCGCTTGCGCGTCAGAATGTCCGATGCGGTGCGAAATTCTTGACGCGCATGCGCGTCAGCTTGTCGTCAACGTGTTAAAGGTGAGACCCGCTAAACAATTTTACACTTTTTGCAGAGAGAAAAGCACGAGGATTTTGAATCTGCTCCTACTTCAGTATGTAATCGCTCCTGCAAGGAGCTATAGTCGTTGGGATAGTGCTAATGTAGCGAAAAAGTACCTTTCGGCGGTACTCGGGCAAAAATCCTCAACGTGGCCATTTTTTAAATAGTGAACGTATTTAGCAGTTTTAGTTGCCTCTAGAAAGCAAATCTTCTAGTTTATGATGACGTATTAACTTTCCAGATTGCATGAGTTTGAACGGAGTTATGGCTTTGGAAAGCGTAAAAACTCGCACTCATCACGAATTTTCCTCGTTAATTTTGCAAAATCCTCAACGTGGCCATTTTTTGAGTACTGGACGTATGAAGCTGCTTTAGCGACCGTTTGATAGAGAAAATCTTCTAGTTTTGTATGACGTATCAACTTTTTGAATTTGACGGAAATGAAGCAAGTTATTGCTCCGGAAAGTGTAAAAACTCGTGCTCGTCTCGAATTTTCCTCGTTATTTGATCTAAATTTGTTATTTCTTATAACTTCCTGTAATTTCAGTACTGATTAGAAAAAGCTCTTCACAAAACTCCCAAATCAGCTTTCAGATTGAAAATTCGTTAACTTTGAAGAAAGTTATAATCATTTGAATATTTGTTCAAATTTCAATAGTAAATAAGCTGCTCCACGGTCAACGCCAAAGTCCAGTCAACACACAGCTGGCGAAGGCTTTTACAAGGCTTCCTTTGAGCGAAAGGGGGACGTGTAAATTGAGAACCATAATCTGTGTAGTACTAGAATTTGGTAAGTCTTGTGGAGGAAATAAACAAAGAGGTGTTGTCATAGTACGCCATTTCTAGTGACTAGTTTGACGTTTTTTGCTCCGTTTCTCGTTTGCTCGTTTGACAGGACTCGTCATTAATGATCATTCTTTGACTTTTTCACTTTTATACTTTTTAAACGAGTTTTTTTTGTGGACGATGGGGTAGCAGGGCTTTTTTATGAGCAGTTTTGGTGGAGAATTAACAACTTTTTCATAGTTCGGCTTTTAAAGAGGGTTGTTTCATGGACTTCGGCCTTCGGCAGAGGGAGGGGGGGGGGGTCGTATTTCCGAATTTTCCTCGACGCCTCGCTTGACCCTGCTTGTACGGGTTTCAAAGCACTTACTTCACCCGACTTTGCTCACATCTTCCTCCTTCTGATACGATAACCAAACACAGCTTAACTTTTTTTCAGAAAATACTAAGAATCGCGTTTTATAGGGTGGTTAGGAAGGAACGGGGTGGGAAATTGTAGATTAGGAGAACAGGAAATCCAGCACGAAACAATTGGAAATTGATAGAAATGACTGGAAACTCGCAGATGAGGGGAATAGGAGACGCAAGTGATCGGCTTGGACTCCCCTAATCTTCTAAGCACCTATGTTCTCTGATGTCATACATCTTTCTCAACCAACCATATCGTTCAATACATAGGCAGTATATATATAATCCAACAGCGTAGTGCAATAAGACTAAATAGGAGGCTCTATATCAGTATTTGAGAGAACTACCTTTATTGTAGATAGTAACTCAGTCAATTCTGTTGCGAGAGAGCTTGTGGCACTGCCTCTTTGCCCATTGAAACTCCTCTTGATCAGACTCTCGGTCGCAGACCACCCATATTTGAATAGTCCGAACTGTACTTATGTCAATAGTATCCTGACTACGGCCTAAGGCTCAACTGCTCACCGCTGCGAGATCTGACAATTGCAAACGAGTTACAATACCTTCATGAGGTGTTCTACCCGATTGTGACTACCATATAGACCTTTATCAAAACGGATAAGAATCATGAAGTGAAACTGGAGAGCGTCTACGAATGGCCGAGACCTCTGCTTTTAAAGACTCCAAAACCAAGAAGTCCATACACTCGCACGAAAAGCACATATATTTTTGTTACTGAAGCGAGTAATTAATCTTCTTGACTCTCTGCCTTTGCTGTTACATTGACCTTTGATAAATTGTTAGAACCTGCATCGCTGGGAAACAACCAATAACAACATGGGAGTAAGTGTGTGATGCGAGTGTAAAATGTTTTACGGCGACAAAATTGAATGCAGATAAAATTAAAAATCATGGACGAAGACATAGTGGGCACAAGTAACTATCATACAACAAAGCACTCAATGGGGATCTGCATACTCGATCGTCCGACTCCACATGTCGATCCGTCACTTCACTCATAGTTTTCCCTCCCTTCAGTATCTCATTTAGGCGCGTACGTTATCGTAGTATGCTCCGCTGCTCTGCATCACACAAAAACGTCACAACTTTGGTATCAAATAGCAACGTACATCTATTTTCCTCAGAAAATTTCTGTTGTCAACCAACTAACGAATCTTGATTTAGTTAACTCCTGATATCGAACGGTAGCAGACTCATATCGTGACGCAACTGAGCATGTATCTCAACATATATTTTCTAGACGGCAACCGCCGCTCTCCTGTCCGTAGGCGGGGGATTGCATGTTACCCTTTGGGCCTACGCGACTTGTGGAACTCCAAAAACTTCGTTTCCACAACCAATTGCGACAAACACAATAAATCTGTAAATTGGTCGTTCATAGCGATAGCTGGTAGTTGATAAATGATCGTGGCAGTTAGTGAGAAGTGAAAGAGCAACGGTAACCGGCAAATTATTTCGCTCGCAGAAAACTATAACATCCGTTGGGGCTGCCGTCACTTGTGTTGTGAAGTCTGCAATGCACATCCACCTGCCACAGGTACAAAGAGTGCATACAACTTGATATTAAACCCACAATAACGCTCAAACGCATAGTAGCCTTTTTTTGTGCAAGAAAATTGGGCTGAGCAAGAAATGTCGCGACAACACGCTGTGGTTTTTTTTGGACGACGTTGATATTCATAAATAACTACATTACATCGAACAGTTCAAAACGTAATATATAAGGAAAAGTATGTAGAAGCTGCACCAAATAGAGAGAAGTTTTTGAAGTGCTTTCTCGCTTTGCATTTAGCATCGATGCCATTATCAATACACACCGCGATAATCGTGCCATACCAGGGGTATTCAATCCTTCCCCAGGGGGATATATCCCCCTACTCTGATTCAATCCTCTGGGGGGACAAAAAAGGTTGCGTCATAGGACCTCGCATACCTCTGTGTTTCTACCTGCCAGACAGTTAGAGCAGCGCGACCCCTCAGGGGAAAGAGTGCTTCATCAGTGGAGGGTAGTAGCGCTGCTCTAACTGTCTGGCAGGTAGAAACACAGAGGTATGCTAGGTCCTATGACGCAACCCTTTTTTGTCCCCCCAGGATTGGGATTGAATCAGAGGAGGGGGATATATCCCCCTGGGGGAAGGATTGAATACCGCCCCAGGGTAACGAACAGCCAGTAGCTCATGTAATACTTGCACATAACAGTAAAATTTTAGACAAATGAGGTTATGATAAGTTCATATAGCCACTTACCGGTTTGAACCATTCAGGCGGACAGAGCACGGATGCGCCCGTCTCATCATCTGGCTTCAAATGTTGTTCAAGGAACTTTGGGAAGGTGCCGTGATGATGGATGAAGCCGATTGGTGGATTCAACTTCATGTGATCCTCTACCGTAGGCCTTAAAAGCTTATTGAATCATTATAAATACAAATAATTCGAAAACTGATGCATCCAAATGCAGTGAAGCTGCGGCAGTCAAAAAGGCCATCTTCCTTTAGAATTCTCACTGACCGTCTAATGCAAAAAAAACGATAACGATCAGAGGCGCGTAAAATCAATGAGTATTGTAAGCTAGGTGAAATGACGCAATTTCCACTTTCACAATTTTGAGATTTCAAGCATTTTGAGCAGCATTTGTGAGTACGGCTAAACAGACATGCCGGAGTCCGCAATAGGAATCGCGCTTGCGGCGCGCGCGCAGCGAAACGCGACTCCTATCGCAATTGACATTTATATCTAAGTCGACCGCTACATACATAGTGTGAAACACTCAAAAAAAAAAAACTGGTAAAAATATCCCTCCGAATGATGAAAACATCTACAATTGTATTGAAATTACCCTATAGGCTGAATGGAGTCGTCATCACAGAAGATCCACTTTTCGTGGGAGTTGTCCAAACCTTCCAAACGTACACACAACCACAATTTGTAGACGTTCACCACAGTCAGACAAAACATCGCGCTTGAACCCGTTGGCCCTAGAACAGTTACACATCATAGGATTATGCTTCTTCAACTCTTTTTAACTATGTATTAAAAATAACAGACGAAACATTTCCAGTTTCTAGTTATCTTCCGAAACAGTGGGACGTGGCCCTTTAAAGGGACAACAGGCCAATTTGGATACTTTCTAATGGCTACACGGTACCGGGAACTGATCAAATTGAAGAAACTCACGTTTTCATTCGTTGCCCCTAACTTTTAAGAATATTTATAATAATGTTGCACTTGTTTTGAATACTTGAAAACCAAGATAGCATACATTATACGAAGTTATACGACTGATACTTCAGGTTCCACACATGGAATTGTTTAGAAGAGGAATGAGCTAGTTGCATCAAGAAGATGAACTTGAGGTGAGTATTTTCGTCATACTGAACAATATAATTATTCTCGTACAATTTCAATATATTCCCTGAGTGAAACATCTGCAAAAGCCATGGGTCCCTAAGAAAATAGATCATGGTTGGTTTTGAACGTTTGTGCGTAAGCCAAACCTGTTTCCTCGCTTGTGAGGCGTGGTCAAGAAAAAAGTCTATTCCATTTCAATAAAATGAAATACATCTTCTCTCCTTCTTACGGAATGAATAATTGATGTGGGCGAGACACTCTATTACAGAGAGGCGTAAAATGTTTGTCACGTAACAAGGACAAACCCTCCAAAGGTCACAACTCCCTTTCAAAACTGAACCACTGATACCTAGCATTTCCGCACCTATTGAATCAAAGTACAACTAATTTGACATAACATCCCCTTATTCAGAAATAATTGATTGGTTAATCAGCCCATTCGCTTGCAAAAATCTTCTACCATATAAGAAAGACATGCAGAAATCGATGTTTCAAACAACTCAAAAACTAATTCATAATTATAACTGCTTTATAGCGCCTTAGCCCTTTTGCCAGAATCGAGCTATCTCAATTAAACTAAAGGCAGGGCGTAAAACTAACATGATGGGGTACCTTGGTTTTACGGGTAATATTAAGCACTAAGCCAAATAGAGGGGTGTACTTTTGGAAAAAAAAACTTCTTACCGCGGAGTCTTCCCCCACCCCTTACAAGGGAGGTCGTTCAGGGTGTGCCAAGCTTTTTCAAAATGGTTTCTTGCATGACATTGGGGCACATATGGGGACCACAGAAGCATGGTTCATTTTTCCTGAACGGCCTCTGAATACCAGAAAGGTCCCTAGTTCGATTCCTCGTGGTGACAAATTTTTGCATTTCGAGTTGACGTTTCCAAATTCGCGCAAAATGGAGTTAGCATGAATAATTAGTACCAAATTCATGATTAGGAACGTCAGTAACCCTTACAAATAGACTTTGATTGAAAAACTGGTGAAAAAGGTGTGACTAGGGACCCCCTTTTCTGGTATTCAGAGGGCCGTTCAGGAAAAATTAACCATGGTTCTGTGGTTCCCGCATGTGCCTCTATATCATGCAAAAGACCGTTTTGAAAAAGCTTGGCACACCCTGAAAGACCTTCCTTGTTAGAGCTCATTCGCAGTGAGCGTTAGCCTAATCTGTGACCCGTGATACCAACAAGTTACACCATATTAGTTTTACACCGAGGGTTTTCATATTACCTCTCGAGCAAACCATTTAACCTCTTGTACCAGATTCATGCTTTAGCTCCTATGAAGTTGAGGTGGTCCGGTCGAAAAATAATGGGTAAGATCAAGAGGTAGGTAAAGTTACAGGTGAAAAACAAAATATATCATTGAGTTTATCAGCATGCTCATCAGCCACAATTTAGATCTATAGTTGTGACTTCGCCTCTAGGATCGGCTTATATAAGTTTGGTTCCGATACGAAACTTGTTCTCTGGTGGTGTATCTGGTTGATAGAAGCACTCAGGTGGAGCAGGTTCAGCATTCTGTTCACGAAGATATGCGTCCCAGTCAAATGTCGTAGTCACCGTGGCCTCCCCATTTACCAGTTTACTCTAAAACAGATCAGTTCTATCCTTAAGGAACTCTGTCAGCTGTTTCGGACATGTTGTGAACAGCTATATTTAGCTAATCTGACGAATAACGCAATCTTCTCAGGGCGGATAATCACTACTTGTTTACCATGTGTGGCAAAGAAGCTACTTCCGTCCCAATGCATTGCCAGTAGCCACTTCCCGAATGGGAGGCACTGATTCATAAGTCTTAATACAACTAAGTTTGGGTCTTTTTTTTTCGCTCTAAAAGGCACGGCGATTCCACAATTAGCAAACGAAACAGGAATGGGCTTTTATACGTCCTAACCACGGACTCATTTTCGAACTTCGTTAATAGTCACCGAAGGTGCCCCAGAAAACCAGTTCTGAGCTTTTCTGACGTTCTACAGCAGATAGAAGAAAATGAAGAGATATGTAGGGTTTTTGCTTTTTGGGCGAAACTGGCTATGCCCTGAACCAGTTTCCAAGTACTGGGAGATTAAACTAGCCTAGATATAGCTCCACTGATCACTTACTGGTGCAGGAGGATTAGGATTTGACGGTGAGGCTTCAGCATACTTGTGGCGACGAGGGGCGTGGATCAGCGTTTTGATTGAATCGAGCCGCGGCTTCATCAGTTTCTGCAGGCGTCGTCCACATGGCCTTCAGAACGGCACTTCACTCATTCTAATTCCGCCAGAGGTTTTTGCAGGCTGAAGCATGGCCATAGGACATCACAGCCAGAGGATTCACCTATGAAGGTGACCCTTCACAGATTCGGAGGAGCGCGACGTCAAGAAAGGTGCACATAAAACTCTGGCCAATTTTCTACTGCTTCTTTTCCTCACGTCGCATCTAAAGTTACCCCTTAAGTCCGAGTAATGCCCTTTTATTTAAGATCAGAGCTGGCCTTGTAGCCCGCTCATGCGTGCTATTCTAAGCCCTGCCCTGGCAAGCTGCGAGCAAGAATTCGCTTTCCATGGTCTCACCTACATCCCGTCTAAAGAGGCACGCATTGTAAGCAACGGGGTGCGGCACCATCTAATGGTTAGTCGGTATGGAACAATCTGGGTAAATTTAACCAGTTTGTTACTTACATCTAACTCCTCCGAGTGCTCACTGTCCTCAGGTTCCATCGTCGGATCCATCGGTACATCATGGCCGAATTCCTCAACTTCAGGCACAACGTCTGTCATGAAACAGCGTGTTCACCTGCAAAAATTGCTTTCATCGCATGTTTTTTCTTATCAGTCCATCAGCAACGACGCTCTCTCGTAAAATCTGCCGATAAAGGTTCTGCTAAAGAACTCCTTGGTTGCCGCTGTCATAGTAACTTCGCCAGGAGGTATGGGGGTGTGGTTCACTAGGACAGAAAGCGACTTTTTCGCGTTTCGCAGCGCGAAACATTTTTCGCTGCGGGAACCCAGGTCCACTCATGATCAGCGGTGGACCTGAGGTTCCCGCAGCGAAAAATGTTTCGCGCTGCGAAACGCGAAAAAGTCGCTTTCTGTCCTAGTGAACCACACCCGGAGGTATGGTATTATAGGGCCTCACAACGATTGCTAGCGTAACTAATTTCATGGGGCTTTCAATGGTGGCTTATAGTCCCTACCTCCTCCTCCCTCCCCCCCCCGGGCTTCGCTTCCAGCTCAAAATATGCTTATTGACGTTTAGGCCAAAAAACATGCGCGACATGTCCCATGGCCGAAGCTACTTTGGAGGTCTCACAAGGGAGTCTTTCAGGACATGGAGCGTTTTTCAAAATGGTTTTCGAATTTTGTAGAGGCTCATGTGAGGAACACAGAACCATGGTCCATTTTTCCTGAACGCCCCCAGGAATGTCAAAACAGCGGGGAAGAAATGGTCCAAAGTTCGATCCTCCGTGATGACAAATTTTTGCAATTTATGTTGGCGCCTCCAAATTGCCGCAAAACACGACAATGACATCTATTCTCGACGATGGCGCCATTTGGCGGCAATCTGGGGGCGCCAAACTATATTGCAAAAATTAGTCATCACCGGGGATCGAACTCTGGACCATTTCTTCACCACTGTTTTGACATTCCTGGAGGCGTTCAGGAAAAATGGATCATGCTACCATACATGTAGAAAACCATTTAGAAAAAGGGCGCTCCAGTCCTGAAAGACCTCCCTTGTTAGCGCTCATAGGATCTTCAAGGTTGATCAACAATCCTACCCCTCCACTCCCTGCTGCCCGAAAGACGCTTATCGACGTTCAGTGCAAAAAATCTGCCCGAAATGTCCCACATCTGGGCTACTTTGAGGGTTTGCATGACGCTGCGTTGTGGACGTACTTAAAGCACCCATTAAAGTATACTGTAGACGTGGTGATACGGTAAGAGTTCACAACCTACAGCTATGCGATGAAGTAGAAGAAATATCGACGCGGCGTCGGCGGTGACGTTGTGTGGATGCGAGCGTGCGCGTTAAGCAATCGTCGCGGTGGTCACACTAGTTTTTGGGCGTTCAGTGGTGGGTCGCTGGGAGGTTTCTGTGTCAACAACGTTGTGGTGAACGCTTTCAGTGGGGATTCGCAAAAGTGATGGCTGAATCCGAAGTATTCGTCGAAGACGTTGACGTAGTAGAAGACGTCACGAGAATGACGGCGATGAAAAGCGACGATACACACGCAGATAGCGGCCGGCCGTCGACGAGACACACGTACACACACAGAGGCACACACACACTCACTCGGCCACCAACAGCCAGCCGGCCACACGCGATGCGATCGATCGCCGCCCGGTTGCGGGTGAACACCGCGACGACCACGGTGGTCGAAGACGATGAAGTACCATGTTTGGGCTTAGTTACAGTAGATGTCCGCCAGCTGAGGGGACGTCGGCAGGTTGGAGCGCACGACTGGCGGCGGCTGATGAAGGAAACATCGTCCTGCGAGATGCCCGACGGCGATGCCCTCAACCCGCGAGCAGTGCAGCGCGTGTGCCTTCTCGTGAATCCCTCTATGACTGCTGGTTAAGGCAGTTCCCAATGCATCAATATGGCCGTGGGATTTTCAGGCTGAGGAGGTAGAGCGTTAATTTTGCCACAGGTCTAGAAATATCAAAGTTTCCTCGGCCTTGATCTGCATCCTGAATGACAGTACGACCCAGTAATCTGGGACCTTATGCATGATGAAGAGCTACTGTTGACGTACTTGCGATTAATCACAATCGCTAACCGGAAAGAGTGTCAGGACTGCAAACAGATCACTAGTTCACCCAATAAATATAATTATTCCTGTATGGTTCTAGAGTTCATTCTCCTGTAGCCCTACAAAGGCTATAGGACAGTTGTGCATGGCTGTACCCGGAAATCTTAAAGGAAAATGAGAAAAAGTGCGATACAGCGTACATTAAATAGCCCCGTCGTGTTGAGCGACTGATTTCAATTCATGGTTCAGCATGATCGAACTCCGCCATATTTCCGTCAGCCGTAATTACGCGCTACATACGGGGGGGGGCAAAAAAAAAGCTACGTTCATACGGAATTATTACCTCTTTCTAAACTCAACGGAACCGATCTCAAATAAAATTGAAGAGCCATTCGCAGACCTATCGAAACATCGGAGAGCCCTCTATACCGACACGACATCACGAAAATTTTTCCCACGAAGAACTTAGCGTAGCATCGCAGACAATGAAAGTCCTCGCGATCGTAGATCCATTAAGACCTATCTTTATCACAAACAGTCGCATGTCAAAGCTGTTTTAGATATCGCGCCAGTCCAATGAAGCATCGATCATCGATTAGCAAGCTCTAGAACTGAGGCGATTACTTGGACCTTATGCTCGATGGTGACGGCAGATGACGTCATATTCTAAAGACGGTGGGGCAGTGAAGGAAGGCCTGCTTCTGCTTATGAGGAGAAACTAAGGAATATTTTGCCGTGAAACTTCCTTTAACAGCGGTACCCTGTACGACGCAAAGTTTGATGATGTGCTTCATGTGCAAAATGACTTTTGTTTGCCCCCTTACCCCCCCCCCCTAAATTGTTTGTAAAGATTGTGTGCGATGTTGAAAATACCAACTTGAACATCGGTGGTTTGGCCATATAACGACAAGCTGTAGCTAAACACTGCTGAGAAATAAGGATACCGTAATTGGTATGGAATTTTCTTCGAAAGCTGAAGCACCAAAGGAACTGTACCAATTTTCCTGTGAAATACATCAATTCATGGTGAAAAATAAGAGGGAAAGTTGCTAATATTGAGTAACGTTTCAGGATGCGCCATGCATCCTAGTCCCATCCTGAACCGGAGAATCATTTGAATGGGTACCTGCGCGGGCTACTTGATGTCCAAATCAATGTTTTGACTCTATTGCAGAGATGATATCAATTAAGAAACCTTTATGAAGCGATGGCCTAATAGTCTCAAAACATTCGTCGGAGTTGCGCCCTTAATCAATTACGTTACCTACGCACTTGACAATTATTTCGAATTATTGGAACATTTTCACGTGTTATTGAACCTACACAACAAATCAGGAAACCAGTAGTGCTTAAGTTCGCACCTTCAAATTCGCAGAAAAATCTTTCAAAAATCAATGTTAGTGGGGATGGAAGCTTTTGATCAGGGTCACTGTTGGTTGGTTGTTACAGGTACCAACAGGGATCGTATTTGAGATTTTGGGAGGGGTCGTATTCGGGGTTGACCAAAGTTGACTACCTCGCCGAAAAGTGCAAGGGCTCGTATTCGTGGAAACTGAAGAGATCACGGTTATGACGGAGGGGGTGGGGTCGGGTTTTTGACAATTTAGGCGAAAAAAAGATTGAGACCCTAGTTTGAAAAACATGAGTGGAATTCGATCTTGTAGAAAGCAACAGCTGACAACTACCCCTTTGCCACTGCACCATTTTGATCTCCTAAAATAAGGTGAAACCATCTCTTCGATTATTCCTTGGGTTATTGCCTGAACTCCGTGCTCTCGCTCCAATCCATTAATTCACCGGAAACCCTATTAACAGGTAATTCAGAATTTAAGAGAACATAAGAGTTCACATAATTGATGCCTACGAGCGCTAAATTTTTGTGACAGAATCAAATTGAGCGCCATGTCTAGTAATACGATGGTGAAACAAGCCATTGATATCCAAGCTTGGCGATAACAATGGGCTATGATGGCCGGAACCATTGTTGCTATTGACAACGATTCAGTGAAGGTACGGTCGCTGTTGCTGATTAATGCACAGACGCAACCCGGGAATACTGGACGAACAACCGGGGAAAAGCTGTTTGGCTGCGTGTAGTGCCGTACAGCTACATACCCTCTATGTCAAAATACAAGAAAGCGTCGGGTGCAGACCATACACCACAAGTGACGACGGCCTCCAAGTAAATCTGGTTAGTAGTGGTTCATAGTGATAGCTGATAGTGACAACTGATAGAATACAACTGCAACAGGCTAATCATTTCATTGGCAGAAAACATTTACATTTTGTGGAGGCCGTCGTCACTTGTGGTGTATGGTCTGCACCCGACACTCTTCTCGTTTTTGAAAGGGAGGGTACATAGATGATGTGAAGACTTTAGGCGGAGGCTGCTGCCTTCGAATATAAAGAGAGGTGATCTTTTTCATTTCTTTTCAAAGAATTCAAGTGTTTATCAATAATATGAATAGTAATATTTAATCCTTCATGACAGTTATAACAATCTCTCTCGGTA